GTCCCACATCACAACACCACCTTTCTTTTTTTTATGTTATTAATTAATTAAATTATTATTATTATTTTTGTTTTCACATTCGTTCCCTTCTCCGTTTCTTTTTTTAAAATTATATATTTTCCACCCGCATCCTCAACTGGCGTTGGACAATCGCCGTAACCCCGTGTATTAACGATGATGAGAATGGTGGCGACGATTGACGGTGGGTAAATAGAAAAAAAATGAGGAAGGGAAAAGAAGACAAATTTTTCTTTTTTGTCTTTTCCGTTGTTGTTTCTATTTCTATTTCTGTTATTTTCTTTTTTTTTGCCGTTGTATACATGCAAAAATACGCCAATATACTTTCTTTCACTCAGAGACAACCAGATCTTGCATTCGCCCAGTAAAAAATATCCATACTATTGCCATGAGTTTAAGGTCGGGGAGGGGTTGGTGGGAAAACCTCACACGACAGGGAGACGAAAACACGGAGCAAACACAGTGTTCACTGGAAGAACGGCAGAACAGTGTAAGGCTGCGTCAAAGCCGGATTCCGTGGATCTGTCATTCCAGTGAGTGGCACGGGCGGAACAAGGGCCTCGGTCTGGGCTGGAGACGGTGACCAATACATGCCGTACTGCGTGGTCGCCGCGACATCAACCAGAAGCAGCATAAGTGGGGAAGGGGCCCCTGGTTTGCTTACCGGCATCGGATTGACCAGATTCGACGCGGGGACTGGTATCGGCATAGGCACAACCTGCGGTGCGATACCTCCGTCCATCCCCATTAACTCCGGCGGGGGGACCGCAAATGCCATGTAGTCTTGCGGCCTGTACGTCTCGGCACCCATTGCATGAAGCTGGTCCAGCTGTGTCTGTGTCCCGTGGAAAAACATACAATTGTCCCGTAAGCAGGCGCGTTTCATGTAAAAGTGGCACACACTAAGAGGCACCTTCCTCGTTTCGCCGTCCCGAATATGGATGTAGGAGCAGGTTGACCCCCGAGGACACTTGTTTGCGCGGAAGTAGTCCGGGCAAATAAGGCCTTTGTTCCTGTACAATTCGGCCACCTGTCGCCGCTGCTGCTCGGCCGTCCAGAGTCCAGGCACCTGAAGCATGGCGTGAAATTGATGTGGGCTGCACCCGCTGACGACAGCGGAAGTTTTTTTTTTTTTTTTACCCTCTGCAAAAGTAGCAAACAGAAAAAAAAGAAGAAGCAAGGAAACAAACAAACAAGATGGATGCTCTTTATTTAAATAGAGGTAAACATGCATAAGTACATACATACCAACAGAAGCACACATACATATTGGATGTATCTCTAATTCGCCTACTTGCAGGCACGATAGGACGGCAGTGACGCAGAAGCCATTTAGTTAACTCTAGATGTCACTTCCTGTTTATGTCTGCCGCGACAAGGCGATGCATTAGACCCTGTTGTTCTTTTAGAGTAATCCCAAAAAAGACAAAGAGAGCGTCGTAGTCACCATGGATATTATATTCCCAGCAAAACGAAAACTATACCCGGCGTAGAGTCGCCTTCCGTAGCTTGGCGATGGTGCAGGTCGATGCAGTTCCGAAAGAAATGAACGCCAGCAGCGGGTTTGAAGCGGGTAGAGAGCAACGTCAAAGAATGCAGTAGCAGCAAAAGCCCCTGCCATTGCTTCATACCTGAAATGTCGCCACTCGTCCGTATCCAGCAAATCGCATCGCCGACGCAGCAGGGAAGACGGCGTCGGAATAAACGCAGAACCCGCCGTCTCATACCAAGTTAACCAAGCTGCCTGGTACGGCAAGAGTATGGCCATGGGCCACAGAGACACGGCGCCCCGCATGAGGGTGCGGAGTGGCCAGGGCCGAGGTGTGACAGGACCAAAGTGATGCGCCACCACCGCGTTCAGCAACGGCGTTGTCGCCACGTGGGCCACCGCATTTGCCGTCAGCAGCACCGCGCAGACGTGGTAGTACGGGTGACGGGTGTCGAAAAGGGCGGACTCAAACAACGGGGGCCCCAACAAGGCTGCGGGGGAGGCCGAATTGGGTCGAGGTGGCGAGAGACAGCGAAGAGTGAGGCAGGCGGTGAGCGTCTGCGTCAAGGCGCAAAATAGGTCTCGTACCAGAAAACCCGCAGACAACGACCACATACCACCGCGACGCAGCATAACACCCAATTGACACTCAATCCAGCGTAGGCGAAGAGGAGCGAGCAGCCACCCAGAGAGCGCGAAAAGAACGCCTAGAGAAAACAAATTAATGTCCAGGTCGTTGCTCACCGCTTGATATGTGTTCGACTGAATCAACCAGTGATGCATGGACCTCAAACCGCCTTCGAGGCGGACGTCACCGGTAACACGACGGTAAAAATTCAACCGCCCCGTGACGGTCTTTGCTTCCTCTTCAGCGTCATGCCACATCAGAACGGGGGCGGAATCCCCTTTGGTTAAGGAAAGCATGTTTCTAACGAACCTCGTGGGACCCAAGAAATTAAATCGAACGTCATCTAAGAAATCCAACGGACGAAACGAGGACGCAGGGGGAAATCCAGGCACCATCCCAACGCCCTGCCACAAGCGTACGATGAGTTCGGAGCAAAATAGGCCATGGTCCGTATTATTGCCATCCACCGCAAAGTGGCCCTCACTCCAATCAATCGAAGGAAATTCCTTGTTACCCAATCGCTTCAAATGAGGGAAATACACATCGCCAAGAAACACGGCGGCATCGACGTAAATCTGTCGTAGACGGCGTAAAATGGCAGCATCCTCTGCGGGATTTTGTTCAGGCATGAGGTTGTCAATGCTGGCTATTTCCCTGGCAAGGAGGTGTATCTTGTGTGCCGCCTTCACGCGATCCATCTTGTCCGGCGTACTAAAAAAGGAAGGCAAAAATTCAAGCAAACTACTCTTGTAAGGGTGCTTCGGTATTGTCTTTAAGTGCTCCAGCATAATTTTTTCCGCCTCCGAGCGATCCCCTTCCATGTGCAATAACCGGGCTGATATTTGGTTTGCGGACGACCTTGCAACACGGTGCTCTAGCGATCTCAAGGTAATGCCGTTAAGGTTTGTCTCCAGCACATACGTGCCGGAGGGCGAGATGGAGCCCGCGGTGCTGACAATACTCGTTTGCCCCTCCTCCCGCAGCTCCTCCTCAGTGAGTTTCATGATCATTGCGACGTGGTCAAAACGGCACTCCGTCTTGTTGAGGAGACAAATGGCTATTCCCACCGGGTGACGCATCGACAGGCATCTGCGGTCCATCAGCACAATATCACCCGTCCGCAGCTGAGATGTCGATTCCATCGCAGCAGCTGACATCGCCAGTGGGGCAGAAGCGGAATGATTTTCCCTACCTTGTCTCGCCAGACTACGGCTAAGGCCTAGACGCAAGGGACGATGCTCAGGGGGAAGAAAAAAGCACGCACAATCAATAACGCCAAAGAAGAGGTTTTCCCTTTACTAACCTCACTTCTGGAGAGGGCGACAGATACATACACAGTTCATATATATATATATATATATACGACATAAATCAGAAATCGCTCGTCACGCATATACCTCTTGCTCCGTGTGCCCAGTTGTTATATGCATAAAAATATGCGCCTCTTCCCGGAAGGAAGCAAAGCAAAACATTTATGCGTCTTCCTCAAGCGATTTCCTCCAGCGGAAGGCTAAGGACAAATCCTCGTGTAGCCGAATCAAACTCACCCGAGTATCCGGGTCAAGTGTGAGAAGACGTTTTTTCTCGTGCGAGGACTCATCATTTGGAGACGCACAAAAGTACAAGCGGTTCACTGGAATGCAGCGCGTTAGCATAGATGTAATGGCCCGCCGAGCCGTCGCACTTCCAGCGCCACCGACGAGATCCATCTTGGATATCACAACAAACGGGGAGGCATCGTGCAAAAAGGAGCGAAGAGTGGAAACAAGGCCCTGCAGGTTCATGATGACACCTTCCGCGTCGGGGGCTGCTTCGTAGCGAGACGCAAAAAACAAAACACTCATCCATCCGTTGTCTTGTATCAAATCCGTCGCAGGAACAACCACAATGCACTGATGAGCACTATTTTCAGAAACACTAGGGAGTTTTTCAAGCTCCTCCGGAGTCAGTGCATCGTTGCCGGCAAGACGTGTTTTCCACGGCACCCCTGAACATAGTTTTTTGAGGAGTTGCCGGCTACCAGCGTCGTAGAACCTGCCCGGCGTGTCGATGCATAACCACGTCGGTTCGGTGGGATGATTGGGAAAAGGGTCAACGGTGGTTGTCCCACAAAAACCACAAATTCCCACCGGTGCGGCAGGCCACTTCACATTGTTGGTCACAGCTGCCCGGTAGCTATTTACCAAAGAGGACTTCCCCACCTGTGGAGCGCCAATGATGAGGACGCGCATCGTCTCGTTGAGGCGTTGCCTTGGCAACAATCTCCTGACGGAGGCCTGACTTCCGTGGAAAGACGCGTTGCAAGCAGAATCCGGCGCCCACAAGGCGCTCGCAAACACCGGATTGGACTGAGTTCGCCCAAACTGAGTAGGCGGCGGTGCCCTTGCACGAAGGGCCTCGTTCTCCGCCGAAAGCAGCAGACCCGAGGTGGAGGCAGCGCCGAAGCCGAGGGCGGCGAGGGAGGCCACGCGGGGCGGCCGCCGCGGCGGCAGCTGCCGGCCGAGCTGCGACGAGACCCCGGAGCGGGAGAACCCCGAGGCCGAGCTCGAGTAGGCCCGCTTGTCCTCCTCGTCGTCGCTCTCGGTGTCGCTTCCCGACGCCAGCGCAACCGCGGCCGCCTTCGCCCGCCCCCTCCGCCACACCGGCATGGGCCCAACCAAAGACGTAACACGACAAAACTAACGGGGGAACGCAACGCGGCGGGGCGGGGCGTGCAAGAAAAGAACGGGCAAGTAAAGGGCAATAGATGGAGGGAAGGCGCGGGCACACAAGCGACGCCACTGCCGCAGCCCCCAACAGAAACTCGCTCTCCCCATCGCCATCACCGCAGCGCTCCAACGCAGAACAAACCACACACACACGCGCGACAAAAAAAGGAAAACACACAGAAAAAAAAGTGACTCGCTAACAAAAAAAATATATATATATATATATTCTTTCTCTGACAGGCGTTGCCATCATCTCAATTAACAGTAGAGTTACAGTCCTCCCACAAAACGCGGTTCTCCGCCTCCCCGTCAAGGGCAGAGGCCGTAAAAAAAGAACGCTGCGAAGGGCAGACCGCGTATTCCAAGTGAGGACTCATCAGTGAGACACGCTCAAACCACGGATTTGGCCCTGGAAGCAGAAGTTCATCCTCGACGTCGCCTCTAGCCGCAGCGTCCCTCACGAAGACGTGCTGGAGCAGCTCACTGGCACGCATGCGATTTTTTGGCTGCAACTGCAGCATCCCCTTTATAAAATCGTGGAAGGCGCGACGCTTCTCCGGCGGCTCGGTTGACGTTTCCACAGGGAGTTCAAATGGGAGCTCATCACCGCCGTCGCGCAGCTTCATATAAAAATCCAAAAAATCTCTGACAGCACTTAGCTTCTCCAACACCGGAGGATACATCCCGACAATGTCGAGTAGCGTTAACCCGACAGACCAAATATCCTCTGCAAAAAGTCCATCCATTGGGGTTTCTCGCCACCCAATGTCTTCTTCAGGAAGCAGAAGCAGTCGTTCTGGTGCCATGAACCGCGCGGTGGCGCCATGTACGCAGCCCTCCCTGAACGGCTTTCTTTGTGCAGAGCCAAAGTCTGCCAATTTTAGATGATTTTCATTCATCATCAATATATTTGCAGGCTTAATGTCACGATGGGCAATGCCCTTCTCATGCAAGTATTGGACCGCACTCAGTAGCTGAAAGGCGTACAACCCCAACTGCGAGAGTGTAACTTCGTTCTCCCTGGCATGCCGCTCCAGAGACGCAGGGCAGAATTGCAATATCATACGAAATTCCGCCGTCCACACCGAGTGCAAGGCGACAATGCATTGCACAATAAACGGACTCGAGCACTGGCGCATAATATCTACCTCTTCTACCAAGGCATCCAGGGTCCGCTCATGGTTGATAAAAACCGTCTTACATGCCATGTACCCACCAGTAAGTTTGTCCTGCACGAGATCCACAAAGCTGCATGACCCCCCACCTATTCGTCGAACCACGGTCAACTCCATCGGGGCGTGCGGTACCACATTACACACCTGTTTCTTGACGTCGTACAGGTAGTCCAGAAAACACACCCAGCGTTCCTCGCTCAGCGGTGTATGCAAAACATAATCTCCCTCCCTCACCACATCACTTGGAGGCCCGTCCATGTTTACCTCGAGCGTGCCATCGTTGCCCCGGTCGCAGTGCTCTCGGGTCACCGCTACAAATTGACCCTTGTCTCGACAGTAGCTCAACATCGAGACAAAGTCGGGTGATGCCGCACTTAAAATCACCGCCGTGAGTTCGTTGAAAAGCTCCGTCAATGCAGTTTTGAGGGCAGGAAGGGAACTAACAGAAAGAACGCGGTGCTGCGTCTCGTCACACATTCCATAGAATTGACGCCAGTAAACGACATCTGGTTCATGCAGGATAAATGTAAAAAAAAAACGGCGCTCCCCGCAATTATCCTTCTGAATTTCATTATTCTTCCCCGCCGCATCAAAATGCCGAAGGGCGATGGGGAGAAGAAACTGTAAACAGGTACTCGAGGTCATGGTAAGAAAACCAATGAGGCTGATGAGCTCCAATGTGTCAGGTTGGGGCCTAAGCAGCCTAGTTGAAGTCCCAGGCACAGTGACATCCAGCTGAAGCGCCAACTGCCCCTCTATCCCACATGTCACGCAGGCTACCAGGAGTGTCAGTTCTTCAACTTCCTCTACCAAAATCCATCCTGCGACCCTTGACAATAATTCCTGGATGCCATTGCAATCCGCTTGAAACTGCTTTGGAATACCCTCGCCTGTTTGCACCTTAAACCGCGACTCTGGGAGTTCCTTCAACGGCCTTAGCAACTCCTCTAGAGTGACCAGACACCAACTACGCATGGTGTTGTTTGTGCGCTGCTTCAGCGCATCCCACGCATTACTTGCCACTAGTGTCTCAAGTAATGAGGAGGCGCATCCCGAATGTCTCAACACAGCAAGTGCTGCATACGTATTCACACGTGAAAAATATGACATCCTTGCCTCTTGCTCCTCATCCACAACTGTGCCGACAAACATACCAATGGGAAAGCCATCCACATGGGCAATCGTGGTCGTTGCCTTAATAGTCACGGGAAACTTCTTCTTTACACTGTTAATCTGGAGTCGCTGCTGCTGCCTGGGTTTATCGTCTAATTCCTGCAACAGACGACGGGCCAAGGCGACACTTTTGACATCCATGACAGCCTCAAGGGATTTTCCTATAGCCTGCTCAGGTGCAATGCCCGTGGCCACATGGGCGGCCCGATTCCAACTACAAATGATCATGGATTTTCTACCCACGACACCAATCAAAACGACCTGCCGATTCAACACACTTGACTTGATCGCCAGCGTCACCACCGCGTCTTCTCGGCTGCGAATGGCGAACTCAACATCTTTTCCCGCCCGAGAAAGCTCGCGCCCCGAATGAGATGCGATTGACCGTGCCAGATGATTCTCGGAAAGCAGCCCCGACAGCCGCCGAAGCCGCGGCCGCCACAATGCGAGGACGTAAAACAAAAGCAGGAACCCGGCAAAGTTTATTACCGTCAACGTCGAAATTGTCATACGACTCCACCAAGGCGTTAAAGCCCGCTCCAGCCAAGCCAATACAACAGTTGCAAAAGCCGTCGAGGAGGTCCACATGAGGCAAGCAATCCAGGACCATGACGGAAAGTTCCCTTCTGTAAAGAAAGCTTTTATTGCCCGTCGCTTGGGGACGCGAATACAAAGACGATTAAAGATATCTTCTTGCAGTACTGTGTGCGAACTGATGGCATCCGCGGTATTTTTTACCGCAATCCACAAATTCTGCAAGGAACTGGCAGTACGCACAGTTTGATAGGATTTTTTGCTGTGCGTGGCGTCTCTCCAGCGTTTCACAAATCGATCCCCCAACCACCGAATGAGGTTAATGTATTCCAGCATGGCGCCGTCATCGGGTTTCACAGGGGCCAGTGAGCCCATGAAGACCGCATCCGCAAAGCCAACGTCAATCAAGTGGTCGATATGAAAAATAAGTAAAGAGCTCTTGACTTCGCATGCCTCTCCTTTGCCAGGCAGGAAGCCCATCGCCGCTTCATGCACTAAGTGCGAGAGCTGTTGAAGAGCCGCGACAAAGTATTGAAGGTGATAGCCAAGAAGCACGCCAGGAAAAGGGGCTAGCGCAAAGAAAGGGGTGTAGGCGCGCAACGGGACCCTGGGCTGAGGGAGGACGGGGCCGCCCGCACAGGGTGACTCTGGGCCCAAGTCCCCTTTCTCTTTTTCAAAAGCACCGCACCGCCAAGGGCCCATGACAGCAGACTGCAGCTGGTGTTTCAAGCCTGTTCCTGGGGGGGGGGGGCCTTACGTCGTTCAGATGTGCGCGTCGACGGGAACCTGCGCCTGCCCACAGCGGCCTCCAGCAATTACGACGCGCTGAGAAAAGCGCGAAGCAACAATGCCCACTCGCTCTTGCTAAAAAAAAGCCGCAAAACAACAACACCAAACGCCAACACCAAACAACCAACCAAGTAAGGAACACTGTAAAAAAGGAAAAAGCAAAAGTCCACTAAGGAATCAAAAAAAAACATGTAAAAAAGTAAATAAAAAGTCGGTTGTGTCCCGAGCAAGAACGAAACCCAATAGACATCAAAGAGAGCAAGAAAAGAGAAGTCATGCACGTAGACAGAAAAGGTGGGAGAGGAAACAAGAGAGCAAAAAAAAAACAGTAACAGGATATGTGGAGCTGTCGAAATAGCATTAATCACCTCCTCACCCACAAGAGACCCGGCACGATGAGTGCCTCAATCCACACATAGACACATACGCACGCGCCAGCCCAAGCACTTCTTGTTGGAAGTCACCCACACTCACTCCATCGAAGAGGTCGTGCATGTTGATAGAGATGCTGGACCCATCGCATCTTCTTCTACATCTGACACAAAGGGGTCGTGCGCACTCAGTGAGTCTAGCAACAATGCATTTGGTGGGATCCCACTCTCAGGCCGTGTCCCTGGGATAACATATACATCGCAGTCGTAATAATCAAAGTAGAGCTGCTTAAGCCGACCGATTTCTGCTTCATCCAATAACTCATGAAGCGAAGTAGTGGTCTCCGAGAGGGTGCTTTCGGCACCAGGGTGACGTTCTTTAAACTGCGGCATGCGCTCTGTAGAATTGCTCCAGAGATCGGGACTTAGCCCACTACGCGAGAAATGCCGCCTAACAGCGGCATGCTTCCGTGACTGAAACGCACGAACATAATTTTGTATCGCCAGGACAAGGGTTTGCGCAACCACCGCACACTGGGCAAGAGCAACCTCTGCACCCGCTTTGCGGCGTCCCAAGATAGGTTTTCCGCACTGCTTAACTGAAGCTAAGTACACACTTATCACACTACGAAAAGCCAACATCTTTGCTGCATGCGCCCTAGCAAGCTCCTCCTTTAGCCGTCGCTCGTGTGTGACGCAATTTTCCAAAACCTCCAAGGCACTGACAGCGCTCACACCGTAGTCCTCTCCCCACAGCGCATTACCCGCGATTTCCATCCGTTCTTTAAATTGCTCTGGGTGCAAACACACCTGTGGGGCCCTGGGCATTTTGTGTTTTCGCGCCTTAAACATGTGCGTCACCCCCACATCAAGCGTCCCCCTTCTGCGGATGCGCCGTCGTTCCTCCTCGTCGCCACTCTCCGCTTCGAGGCCATCGGTAATGGAGAGCTTTGTCGCCCTCGCCGCATGCACGTGCGACACTTTCTGCGGCGTTGGACGGAAACCGCGTTTTTCGTTCTTCGGCGGGGTCCCCACCGCCCCCCTGCCAATTGACGGCGCAAGGTCGCAGAACTTCACTTCCCGCGGCTGGAGCGCCAAACGGGTGTGATCGGGCGGGCTCTCTGCCGGTGGCGCAGACCGATGATCCATCGGGCAGACCAAACGCAAAAGCACGGCTTAGTTCTCTTTGTACCGTGCTATATTTGTCTTTGTTTCCTTCCACCTCTCCCCACCTCCGCCAGAAAGAGTAAAACAGGACAAAACGCAACAACTAGAACGGTGATAGCAAAGAAAGAACACCACCATGTACGTCATACTAAAATGTATTATTTAATACATGTAGGATTGAGAGTGCATATGCATTTATATACGCAATACACACCTGAGTGGGAATGCATGGGAGGGTAGTAGCAGTTGCAGTAGCAGTAGAAGTGGCAGGTGAAACAGAAGAGACGGCGCCGGTAATAGATACCGTCTGTCAAGGACGAGGCTTAATTCAAACACACGCACACGCGATAGCGGCTAAGAGCTGCTATCGCAAAATATAGAGAAAGGGTGTGTATCCGCTTAGAAAGCTTTACTTAATTCCTCTGCCCATTGCTCCACTCCCTGCCTCATCCATTTCATGGGCCGCGTCGACCAGGCTCGCCCTCCTAGCCTTGCTTCAAACGTGGCAAACCCATTTCGCACCGCGGCCACAGAGGCCTCAATGAGGAGATTCCGCTGTGACTTGTCAAGAACTGCAAAGGTGCGGCAGGCGTATATCCTTTCGGCCAAAGCGTCAGCCACAGCCTTGTACCAATGCTTCACTGCCATGCGTTGCGCCTTCCGCAACTCACCACTCTCCGTGGTGATGCTTGCCAGACATGGATTGCCGCTTACGGCCGGAAAGCACTCAGCCCACGAAGCCGCAAACTCGTCCACATACCGTCCCTTTTCATCTTCTAATACGGCGATGATGTTAGCAACAATTGGCACAGACGGCAGTTCTGCCGTGGACTTTTGCCTGGAGCTTTCGGGGTCGTCTGTGGGAAGTCGACGTTGATGAAAGCAGGCCTCCTTGCGATAACTTCCAACCAAAAAGAGGATATTGTTCAGCAAAAATATATCTGGCGAAATGACATGGCCTCGCTCCGAGGAATACCGCTGCACCCGCGACGGCGAGAAGGACAACGCCTGCCGGCGATGGCGGCGACGGCCAGCATGATTCATGGTCTCGCTCTGCAGCTCCAGCGCAGCCTCGGCAATGACCTCCAGGTCCCGCAGTGTCCCCAAAACGCACCGCATCATGTAGTCCTCCACCTCCTGCAGCGCCTCCACCTCGGAGGAGGTGTTGAGCAGTGTGCCATGGAGAGCCAACTTCAAGGCACCAAAGTAGTGCGTCAGCATCACCTTGTGCAGGTAAACTTGATTGGTGACAGACACGTGGGTGGAGCAGTCCAGCGAGGGCACCCACTCCGTACGATGCAACGCGTTGGTGTACTCCTTGAGAAGCTTCGCGTCGAGGGCGCCCTTACAGGTCACATAAGCGTCCAATAGATCTCGCACCTCAAACAGAAACTGTTCCACTTCACTATCCACATGGTCAATAAAGACGTGGTTTTCTCCCGGTAGACTCTCTGCGAGACTCTTCCATTTCCATAACTCCTCCAGCAAGTCTAGTCCAATGAAGATGGCATCGCGGTAGTGGTGAGTTTCGCCCACAAGCCCAACGCCCTCCCCTCGCGAGAGAACAAACGTCAGTGTGGGGTTTGCTAAAGCCGCATCGTTCACTTCCACAGCGGCAAAGCATTTCGACATGACGCGATCGAAGACGAGGGTGGCCAATTCACCAGGCATCCCCACGACGTCAAAGGCATCGTCCAATGGCTCTAGCACGTACTGCTGCAGGCACTCCCCCGCCTCACTTACAATCTGCCGGGCCGTTGAAGATATACCCAAGAGTCGGTGGCAACCTTTTTGGTAATGCTTCCGCATAGGCGCAATTTCGTGTCGCGCTGGCAGGATAGCATACGGCTGCATCTCTTCCTCTTTGTGTGAGCTGCCACATAGGGCATCAACCAGGCGAAGCATTCCTTCGGCGAGGAGCTCCTTCACATCCAGAGAGACCACGTCATTGCGGTTGAAGTTTTCGCCAAGTCTGTGCACAATTTGATCAATCCCGCGTAGTGCTGAATTATCGTGAATGAGCACAGACGCCTTTTCTGGCGTCGCTGGCGCTGTGGCCGCTTCGCGTTTCTCGCCCTCGCCCGATTGCCACAACTCCTTCTTTTGCAAAGATTTAATAAACGCCTCCTTCACGGTGTCCTCGGCGACCTCAACCATGGTTGCCAGCTGGGCCGCGATGCTCACCCCAATCTGGTCGGCGTAAAGATTTGTTGGGTGCGACGCGAGGTAGTTGTCGGTGAACACCAAGTAGTCAATGCACTTGCACAGCACCTCCGGGTTCTTCTCTTTGCGCGCCAGCACAAGCCGCAGTGCGGGCGGAGGGTGATAGCAGCGGGCCGCCCGTGACATCTCCTTGATGGTGGACGCGATATTCTCCTGCGCCACCTCCCACGGCTGCACGTCGGCCGCTATGCGGCGCGCGCGGTCCGCAATCGCTTTGGAGGTGTCGGCGAAACTCTCCAGCGTCTTGGCGCCGCCGATGTGCAGGGCATTGAGGGCGTTGATCTGTTCGTCCAGCGCCGAAAAACCCGCCATGCCGCCTAAGCCGCAGCCGGGACACAGCAAACACCAAATAGGGGGGAAAACAAAGAAGCAAAGGGAGCGTGAGGATCTCGGCACAAACATCGTTACACACACAGACAGAGACACATACACAGAGAGGCATGGACAGAGAGAAAGAAAGGAGGCACATACACACACACACATCAAAAAAAAAGCTAAAGCTAAACGGTTCTTCCATAATAAAACAAAAGGTACAAAAAAAAAGTCGTCTTCATCCCGGGCGCGGCAAGCACGCAACTCAACCCTTTTACAGGAGGAGATGGGGGCGGACCGCCGCCATAAACTTCTCTTGAAATTCTTCGTCGCTGAAGCGCCTAATCGCAGTCAGTCCTTGCTCCTGGAAATGCCTGTACTTCTGCGGCCGTTGAATCCGCATGTCAACGATCTCCACCATGCGACTGGCGAATTCCTCCTCGGATACGGCCAAAAAACCCTCTTCCGGCGACGTGATGATATCAAGGCACACGCCACCACTGTTGTGCGCAAGCGGAATGCAACCACACGCCATGTACTCCACAACGACAATGCCAAAATGTTCATCCTCCATGGTATGCAGTCCAATACAGCAGTTGGAGAGCAACTCACCCACCTCAGCAAACGGCGCCCCAATTCGCACATCTACGCGGTCAGAGATGCCTCTCAATTTCGCCTCCTCCTGGACATCGGCCGCCCGTTTCCTATCATCCGCAGAGCGGGCCCCGCCCACCATAATAAGTCGGGCGTCGTCTGGCAGGCGAGGAAGTGCCTTGGCAAAGGCGCGCAGCTGAAGGAGGTGATTCTTCTCCGGTCGAAACTGGCCCACGCTCACGATGGTGTTACCGCGCTGCTCCGGTGGTTTTCGCAATGACAGAAATTGCTTGACCGCACAGGGAGGGTAGACCAGGGTTGGGACGACGGGCTTCCATAGTTGTTGAATGTGTCGCGTTGTCCACCGTGAGTTGGTCATGGTAAGCTCCGGAAACTGCCCCAACCACCAGTAAAAAAGCGCAAAGACTTTGTAGTACGCAGCCTTCGCCTGCCGCAGTGTACGGTGACGCGCCAACAACCCCCGATTGTTGTACCGCGTCACCCCACTCTCCACCCGCTGTGTCATGACGGAAGTGATGACAGGGTAATGCGTGTAGCTGATGATGCGGGTGCCGGCCAAGAGGGAGAGGAGCGGGTAGATGCCTGGAATGCCGACACTCTCAATGACGATGGGAGTGATGCTATTCACCACGCAGGCTTCATAGAACAGCAGCAGACTCCCGCACACGGCCTGCAAAAGCAGCGTCATAAACGGGTACTGCTCACCGCGGAGCCAGCGCGTAAAGGAGGGTCGTAAAAAAACCACCTCAATAGGCTTTGGCAGGATAATCTGAAACTGCTGCTGCACTGTTTGTCGCAGGCGTTGTGCCCCGTTTGTCCCATCGTCATCGCCACGGGAGCAGTAGAGAACGTAGCGTCGCGTAATGCCTCGGTTCATATCGTCCATCTGAACAGCACGCATAGCAACCCACAGCACCCGCTCTCCTCCCCCACCTGCCGCGGCGGAGGGGTGCAAAAAACCGACCGTGCCGCGCGGAAAACGTCGTCTTCCGCATTGCGCAGCCACACCAACTGCCGCAGCGAGGGCAAAAAGGAGGAATGCGAAAAATAGCAGCACCACCGCAAACGCCATGCTGGATAATTTCACCGTTTCTGATACCCCCCCCCCAATGGGGCCGCGTGCGCAAAGAAAAATAGAAGGATGAAAAAAGAAAGCAGGGACACGAGTTTGCACAAGCAGGGCCACCGCTGCCACCTCCTTACAGGAGAGGAGGAGGCAGGGATAAACGGCGTTGACAAAAAGAAAAAGAAAAACAGGCAAACACACAAACACACACCAGCAAAAGGGGAAATAAAATCAGTAAAGATATGAAAGAACAACAACGTCATCAATAAAACAGAAACGTCGGATCTCATGCCTTAATGTTGGTCTTGAAGTGGTTCTTGATCCTGCGGTTGACCTCCTTCAGGTAGCGGCAGCGGCCCGTGCCGGTGCGACGGCGCTTGATGGACTTGACGGACCAGTTGTAGCGGCGGCGGCTCGCACGCGGATAGGCGCAGGCCGCACAGCGCTCCCACTGCACGTGGTACGCGTTACGGCCGCAGCGGCGGCAGAGGATGTGGGTGCGCCCATGGCGCTGGCCCATGGATGTGGTACCCTTCGTCATCGCCTCTTACACTCAGCGAGATCCTTGCAGGCGGCGAGGGCAGAAACAAAGCAAAGCAAAAGGAAGACAAGGACCACCGAAGCAGCCAAGCATATTCCACCAGGACAAGAAGCAAGTGGGACCAGCAGCTAGCCAAAATACAAAAGCAGCACAACAACAACAGTTTAAACAAAACAAAGTAGCATATACATACATAACACGACCAAGAAGGAAGGTGGGATGTGCGTGTCTGTATGTTTGTGGGTAGGTGCTAGACGCGATTCTCGCTCTCGCTCCCTCTCATACACACACACGGAGCGAGAGCGAGAACGAGAGCGAGAAGAGAAAGTGTAAAGAAAAGTAATAATCCAGTCATCACCACCACCGCCACCACCACAAGATGAATATTAAAAGGGCTAATCGCTTCGATTAAGGAGATGCTTCGCGGCTGTGCAAAGCCACACATCGCACGAATCATCACCATCCTTACCCACCTCCACGTCCTTCCCAGAGGCTTTGTTCGTTGCTTGATCAATGATGTCGGCTGACAAGAGAACAGGCACATGCCAGTGCGTCCGTGAGAGCAGTCCTCGCTGCACCCACACGGAAAAGGGTCGAGGCAGTGCAAGCAATAACGCCGTACTACCCGTCGCCCGCTGAAACAAGACCCTGTACGTCACACGATGCCGCTGTCGCCAACGCAGGAATGATCGACGACTAAGCAACATAAAGTGGTGGTCGCGCATCTGGTCATTCGAGATAAAAAGACAATCCGGCTTACGGATCGCCGCGTACAGCCAACAATAGTCGTCATTAATGAATGCCGGACAGGCAATCAGAGAGGAGTCGTTTTTCCACTTTAGCAGCCACTCCGCATTTTCCTTGGAGGGAGACTCCACGTGACGTTTATGCAGCATCACCAACGGTTTTTTCCCAATGCGTCGCGTCTGCGTCAGCATTTCATTAATGAGGGAAAACTTCGGTGGGACATCGACAGGCAACGGCACCTCACAAAGTTGATGCTCCGGCACGGTCGTCGGATCCACGCCACGAGCCCGCAAACACGCTTCCTTGGCCTCTCGATACCAACTGCTAAGGCCATAATACCCCACATTGGCGCCGTCAATGACGGCATCGTAATCGCAGCTTGTAAGTGTCTGCTTAAACACCTCAAATTCGCGCCACCGCCGCTCCTTTTCTATCGGCGTCACAACTCTCTCCGGCTCATAGTGATTTTCACCCCCCACCCGTGGAGCTATCAGTTTTGTTTCAATGTCATTTAGCAACGTGGCGCGGTCCGCTGGAGAGAAATCAAATGTTTTTAGTTTTGTCCCACACCGACTGCATTCCCCGGTTTTATCATCGACGTCTGCCATCTCGCCCGCCATCAGATGCTGCAGCGCCTCCCCGTTGCTTTTACCCACAACAGGGTGATGTTCCACCATGGACTCCAGCAGCTCATCCAGCAACGCTGCAGTACTGCTGCTCTCCGTCGCAGCGTTTTGAATGCTGCGAAGCAACTGGCTGTAGTCCACATCCCAGAACTCAATCCTTTTGCTTTCCCCCATCCGCAACGTGTTGAAGGCGAGTGCGGTGTCCCCAGTTCGTGCAGCATGTTCAAGTAAAGGAAAGAACAGGCGTCTCTTGTGAGCCCCTTCTGGTAGCATTGACAGGATGCTATTCATGAGATCCACGTCCACGCTTGCAGAACGACCAAGCAGACGAAGCGAGACTGTGGCGACCTTCTCATCAATGACATTCCTGCGCAGCGATGAGTCTGCCAAGAGGACTTGCTTTAGCAACCGTTGTCCCTCCGCCACCAGCCCCTTCTCTGTCCATTGGTAGAGAACCTTGGCCAACGCCGAGCTACGCGGGAGAGTGCCGTGCCGTTCCACACACTCCTGGAGGAAACTGGAGAGAACAGCGACCACGGCGGCGTCGTTGACCGCGCGCTCCCCAAGTCGCGTGAAGACGTCGTTAATAAAATCAAGCTGCTTCAGCCGAAGCTTCGGCCTCGTTTGGCGGTTGTTGGCGTCAATCATTTCCTGCACCGCGGGGAGGCTGCTGAAGCCCGGCGGTATGTTCGGCTCCAGCCGCACCCGGCTTCGGGGCGGCTCACACGAGTCGCTCATCTTCCACGGCCACCCCCACGCACTTCTCTTCAACCCTGGCGGGAGAGGAGCAGCAGCAGGCAGACACGGCCGCGGTTGCGCGTGGGCGCCAGCCAAGCGAGAGGGGAAAAAAGGGAAAAAACCGACAGAAGAAAAAAGGAAAAACAGGTAACAGCCCGAAAACTACAAGAACAACAACAAGAAATATAACGGTAAACGGCCTCACGGCTGTCGTCAAAAGCAAAAAATATACAAACAGAGAGAAAGGGAGAAAAATGGAAGGGGCATGCTGCAAATAATACATAAAGTGAAACTCCGGTGGGTTTGGGTTGACATATACGTCAAGTGGAAAAAAAAAGAGGCAGAAAAAAAAAAGCCGATTCAGATGGATAGGAACAGGCAGTGTTGGAAATGTTACGAGATGTAACAATGTTCAACAGACTACTGATGAGGCTGGCCTTCCTCGCCCCCAGAAATACATAATTACATCTTGCTTCGTTTTCCTTTCAGTTCAGTGGGACGCGGATCACATCAATGGCAAAGAGGTTCTTCAACTTCAGGGTTAGACATTCCACTTCATATTCTGCTGCGGCAACACCGCGCTGCATGTCCCGGAGACGCCTTCGCGCCTTCGCTTCTTCCCTGAGCCTCTTTTGCGTGGCTTTTCTATCCTTGTTCGCCTCCACAACACGCTCATGCTCCTCAGCGGCTGCTTGATGCTCACTAATTAGACGCTTTGCCTTTTCGACGGCGGCGTCATACCGATGCAGCATCTCCAGCTGACTTTCCGTGAAGCAACCGGTGAAACGCTGCGGTTCCCCCCGCGTACTGTACGTGATGACGCCACGAAACTCCTCAGGTGCGCCGCCGTAAACTTTTTGAAGCTCCTCACGAAGCAGTTCCTCAAAATCGGCGTACTTCTGGAGTTGACGTAGCGGCGTCAACTCAACGGCGATGTCGGCGTGGCCTTCAGACGCACAGAGGTGGGGACGCTTAAAAGGAGTCATTTGCCTTTCAAGTGTTCGGGAGGAAACAGTTGGCGAAGCAGAGAGAAATAGGCGGTAATAGCAGACTCAGGCGGCAAGACGCAATCGGGGTGAATTCATTTCTACGGTGTTTGTCCACGCTGCAGGAAAAGCACAGCAAAGAAAAAAGAAACAAAGTAGCTGCTGTATCCGTTCATTATCCAAATGACGCAGCAGCAACTTATCTTCAGTGAAAAGCCAACCACACACACCAAAATGGAAAAAAAAGAACAGAAATAAAATAAAAGGAACAGTATTTATTCCCTTCACATATTTCGTTAATACCCATCCCCGTCTTGTGCTTATTTTTTGTTTTATTTTCCTGTTTTCTTTTTGCTCCTCTCGCTCTCTCTCTCTCTCTGCGTGTGTTTGTGCGTGTGTCTGTTGTATTCGCTATTCTGCTCGCTGGGAATCGATGAGCCGAGGAGGAAAGTCATAAGAATGGCGCCGCGTTACTGCCACGCCTCACCTCTCTCGCAAGCCTGTAGTTGCCAATTCACTCTCATTCCAGCGTTGCCGTGTGTATCATTCCGGCCTCCTCCAACGAATCACAGTCCGCATTAAGCGCATTTAGGTTATTATAAAGATAACCGCCATACATGTCTTCCAAGTTCTCTTTACGTACTACGTACTCCCCTGTCACTTCCTTGGGGATCTCAATGTCATACTCCTCCTTGAAGAAGTCTCGCAGGGCCTCGTGGCTGTCAATAGCAGCCTCATTGGAGTGGTCTGTGCGTCCCCGAAACCGGTCAAAGTCCTCGTACGTCCAGTAGCCCTTGCCCCCGTCAAAGCAATTAAAAATCATGGCTATCAAAGGCAGTTCCTCATCGTTTAGAAGCAGCCGGAAACCTTCCTTCTCTGCGCGGGCATAAAGCTCACGACAATTCACGCAGTACATTTCGCCACTCTCCTCATCGAATTCAAGGTCTTCTATACCTAAACACCGCTTGTTGGCGCAAACTTGGAGCACGATTATGTCTTCATCTTCGTCGTCAGACATCGTTCCCTGCGGCCTCGGTTTCTTCGCGCCCCCCACCCCCAAGCTAGCGACAGCAAGACGCAACAGTAATAAGCAAGGGAAGAAGAAGGCACGTACAACCGAAAAAGAAAAAGAAAAACAAGAGGCAAGCTTCCCACACCACAACTCGCAAGAGATGACACCAACAGAGATACACAACAGCAGACACAAGCGAAGTGTTTATATGCAAAATCACGAGCATATGGGTGAAGACTTGTTGTACAACTATGCCCTTCATCTCCGTTTAGCGCAAATCTCTCGGCAACATGCCTTGTGCCACAAGGAACATAACTCCGTGCCCAGAGAGACACGGGTTGCAAAGAAGCGCGTCTTTCTCGTCCTTCCGTACATTGAAGAGATAACGGCCCGTAAAACAAAAAAGTGTTCCCCGAAGCCATTATGTGAGCGGCGATCACAGTGGTGCTGTGCGCATCGGGTCGCAACCGTGCTGCCGCCAATACAAGAAATGACTTTTCCTCCTTACTTCGCCTCTGGCCCACGAACATCTTATCCTCCTGTTGCCCCCGGTCCAGAGCAGGGTCAAATCCAACAAGCCCAAGGAAGTCCGGATCCCGACACAGCAAACGTTGCGACGCCAAGCTGCTTGGGAGGGCCTCAAGCGGCACCCGACGCACCTCCACTTCCACGTCGGGCGTAGGCCCTCTAAAAACAACTGGCCCCAAAGACACTGGGATCTCTTCTTCTGACACAACGGCGCACAGCTTCGCACGCAGAAGGGCACTTTGCGAGTGCCTCTCCACCCCACCATGCTGAGAGCAAGTGTGAATACGCACCGGGGTCCATGCTGCGCAACCTCATCAGCCCGTCGTTGCCTGACGGCGAAGCATCGACGAAGTTCAGTATAATTGTGGGGGATTTCAAAGTCGTGTAACTCGCATTTCCTCGCAAACACGCATTTCCTACTTCCCAAACAAAGAAGCAAACAAACCAAAGGGGAAACAAAGAGTTAAAGAACAAAATGCAAGAATATTAAAACAAAAAACATAAACAAAAAACATGCCGTCTGGCATAGTGTGTCCCTTCAGCTAGCGCCTATCCTTATTAACAGCAATAAAGAGCACAAGAGAGACCTTGACTCTTACAAATGTGCCCGCAAAAAAAGGGCATTTTCCTTGTCAAGAGCGGGGGCTATTAAATACCTCTTACTGAAGGCACCTCACGTACTCGACGGTACATGTAGACACCGCCTTGTAGATACGCTGAACTTCTTGAAACGTTGGGCGATGTGTCGTCAGGGGCGCCTTGCGCACACGGGGGTCTTGCACACTTACCGGTGACACCGCTCTTTCACCTTTACCTGTCGTGACGGCTGGCAACCCTGAGAAGTCCGTCAGCACAGCACGGTTCTGAGGTCCTGGTGCAACATATAACACAATGGCTGCAGCATCGATGTAATTGCGCCAGCTCAAGAGTATATCCCTGACGTCCGTCTTCCATTTAATCTCCTGTGCGCGACGTATTTGGGAGCCTACACTGCCGTAACTGCCCCCTTCCTTCTCACTTGAAGACTGCTTCCCGCCCTGCTTCTTACGCACAACATAGCGCTGAAAAGCCTTGTGAACCACCGGTTTGTTGTTAAGAAACACTCCGCCGGCAAAATATCCACCGTGGCACATGAGGATCACCCAAGGCAAAAAAGTGAACAAACGCAACGAGTCACGCAACTTGGGTGGCACATCCAACGGCAGCAACTTGGTCGAGCTTTCCTCCTCTTCCTTCTCCCCCAGTATGGCGTCATACTCAGCCACAAGTTGCTTGGAAAGCTCAGCTGTGGCGGTTGCGTCATCCAATTCGACAAGTTTCGCCTCATCATCCGCGTCTTGCAGCTCCTCCTGCTTGACTGCCTCAGTTAATGTACGCGGAGGCTCTTCTTCAATGTTCACGGGCAGCGAATTGTCCGCCGTGGCCACAAGAGGGATTGGCGTCGCTGAAGGCGCCCCGTACGTGAGCGCCGTTACAACGGCGCGGTGCAAAAGCACACGGCATTGGCACTCGATGCCATCATACTCTACAGGCGTGGTAAAATCCAGACGCACCAATGGGGTACCCGGGATTCGCAAACATCGACCTTGACCAATGGCCTCCTGCGGTATATCGCTGCTACTGCATTCTGTATACTTGGCCACCTCCTCAACATCAACTTCAGCGGCTTCGACGATGGTTGCCTCTTCCTTTTCTTTCTTATGCGGCATTGCACCTGACAGCGTGGGGTCGGAGACAACAGTTACCTCTTCCGTCGTTTCGGTGTTATCTATCTTTGTCTGCGACTTTTTGGCTTTGGTCTTGCGCCCGCCCTGCTTCTTCCTTCCTTCGCGCTTCCTCTCCATCTCCTGCTCCGCCGCTTCCACTTCATCCACGTCGTCCTCAACCGCCCCCGCGTCGAAGTCCACGTCCAGCAGCGCGTCTACAGTGTTGCTTTTCCGCAGCACCATTTTATTCACCTCCTGCTCCAGCTGGTCCATGTCGCGCAGCAGACGCTCCACGTATTCCCCACTGAAGGGATCAAGTTTCGCCCGTGCCTCCTTGAGACGCTCCACGTTGGCCATGTACGTGTTCTCAGCCTCGTAGGTATTTCTCGGGGGAATCGCCAGTGACTTCCTCGTAACAGCGAGCAGCCGCTCCACCTCAGCAACGCTCGACATCTGTTCCTTCCTTCTTGCGGCTTCACGAGAGACGGAGTTCAGTACGGCCGCCGCAAAGACGCCCCCAAATATCAGAAGAACACACAGAAGAGAACGAGCCATGCAAATTCCACAGCAAAGTGGGAGCAAAAAGGAGGTGCCGAGAGACCGAGAGGAATGGCCACTTTCTTTTTGCTGTTGTTCCACCTCCCCACCTTATTTTTTTTTTTGGATTGGCAGACAAAGCCTTGGCAGTTGGAGAGGAAAAGAACACAAAATAGAGAAACCAAAAGCAAAGAAAAAATAAAAATAAAAAAATAAAGCACACACACACACAGACAAAAAAAACGAAAACAAAGAAACTTACGCCCAGTGAGGATGGAAGGTAATAATTGCCGAAACAAAGCGCACATCTATACAGAAAAACAAACAAGCCCACGCAGTCGCAGAACACCAACGAATACATATTATTGATTAGCAACTATTGCTTGCAAAGTTAAAAAGGCCTAACGCAGAGGTCCTTTTGTTTTATTCCCCTCCAAAATACAACTGGAGTCAACATGACCTTCATCGAGCTCTGCTCCCTTACAGAGCCAGCTCTCAGTGGGTAAGGCATAACTCGGCGTCCTCGGCGCGCGGCTAAAACTTGGACGTCGGGCGCTAGACGCTCGTCGTTGCATAGGCAGCGAACGTTGCAAAGTAACCCCAACGGGTTGAAGTTGCGAAGTCGGCACTACGGAATTAAGCGCCTCACGTTGATCATTTGCAAAAAAATCATCCCCCTCGATTCGTGGAGCATTAGCCATCAAAGCTTTTGGTTCCACGTTGGGTTCCCTCGTGAGGCGATCCTTGCGATGCGTGCCGCCGCTCTGTCGATTTTCTATTGAGGCGTTCAAGCTCTGCCGTGGCTCAGTTGAGGCAGCCAACCTTCCCGTTGCGCCATTGGAATCCACATGGTTGGAATCAGATTGCGGACGCACAACATCCGCTAGTCTCTCTAATATGCCGTAGACCGAGGAGACAGAAATAAGACCATCGCCTCGGTTTCGCTCCCTAGATGCCGATTTTTTCTTCCTACCCTGGGCCCGCGAGTGAGGCCGCTCCGCGGAAACTACAAAAGGTTCCCTCTCATGCACGGTTGGCCTTATCGACACTGCGCTTTCCCTGTTCGGCGTCGGGGAAACAAAAGGTGGTCGACGTGACCAGCGCTTCAAAGCACACGCGGCGGCATCAGGGTTTGGCATCAGAACAAGACACCTTGTCTGCAGCGGAGCCGGTGCCACCGACTGCTGCAAGGCCGATAGATCGGGACGAGAACTAACCCAGTTTGTTGGAAGAGAGGAGGACATGGGGCTTGGCACGATATCTTCCCCTTCTTCCCGTGGGGACGCATTTACAACCGGAGCCTGTGGAGACGCTTCTGCAGACGTCGACACTTTTGGCGACTGTAGCGGGACGTTCACGTCAAGAGTGTGACGTTCAGCAGAACTCAACAGAGTACACGAGGACGTGGGACCTGGCAAAGTAAGTTCTCCCTCACAGGGCGTCTTTGTAGGTGACACGTGTGGCACCTCTTCCCTCTCCCTTTGTCTTTCACCGGAGGTAACAGTGCTAAGAACTCCATTAAGAATAGGTGTAGCAGCGTCAGAGGCTTGCGTGTTTACGTCTAGTAATTGTTTGGCCTGTGCAAGGGCAGAATGCGACTGTCTAATTATTGGATCCCATCCAGGGGCTTCTGCCCGTACTGCAACGTTTGAGGGCGGTAGAGGCTGCGATATGCAAACCTTCATTGTCGATTCAGACGGTGTTGCTGCAATGTCACTATGCAATAAGTTTCGTCCACCTGTGTACACCTCTACTGGAGTGGAACGTAGTGAAGCGGAAGGAGACAGGGGCGGCAGTCTATTTGTCCATTCGGGAGGCGACGACGGAAAGCCATCACGTGCCACTGCTGTGGGCATCCGGATACCGGCAGTGAGATTCGAAGGCGGTGTACGGACAGGCGTGCGGGGCTCTTTTGACGGCTCTGGACCCCGCGATGGGCGGAACACCCGCTGCGTCATGTGCTTTGGGCCGGGGAAGAACACAAAGTTTGTGGACGCATTTACCACCTCTTCCTCGCAACTAGAGTCCAATGCGGCACCGAAGTAGTGCGCCAGATACGGATTTTTGCGCATCTGCCCTGCGTGTACCAAGAAGAAGAAAAGAAAGAGAAACACAAACAAAGAAGGAATTATCTGTTCTCGGAGTCAGTGCATGTGTGCGTATGCGTGCCTGCGGCAAACCCATGATATATATATATATCTATATGTCTATAGCAGAGGACAAATAAGTGCAGAAAGAAAGAACGACGTAAGCAGATACATCAAACCAATCAAGAAATGCAACTCCTCTGCATAACCTCTCCTCTTTCTTTCTTTTCCTCTCACGCAGGCTCACCTTTTTTTTTTTTAAATTGCTCGTTCTGCAGCGCACTGTCGAACTTTGGACCTCACTTTAAAAAAAACAAAAGACAAGCAACCGTTTAATTGTAACTCGAACATTATATATATATATATATATTGTGTGTGTGTGTTTTTTTTGTTGGTCGCTTTAGAATCTTATTATTCACCTTTTATGTTTCTTTGGGGACCGCTGGGGTCTCCTTCGGCGGGCAAACGCCATTATTTGTGTCGAGAGATAATCTCCTCGTGGTTGGTTGAGTTACGCGGTGGCTTCATGCGCCTTTAGGACGCAGAGGGCCTCGATGACCTTCTCATGGAGAAGTCTCGGGGTGGACAGCAGTGTGAAAGCCTCCTTGAGGTCCATCTCCAAGAACATGCCGGTAATTTTCGGCGCGTGGTCGGGGGCAATTTCAAAGACCTTGATGTACAGGCGATCTCCCAGGGCGGCACGCTGCTCGTCAACTGTCATGGATCGCAGATCTTCGGCAGTGATGGGCGGCAGCGGCGGCGTATCGGGGGCGGCACCCGGGGATGCCTGCGGCGTCCGGGGCGGCGCAAAGGCCATAGGCGGTGTGGTAAACATTTCCTGTTGCACCGGCTGCGGCAGCGGCGGGGGAGGGTGATGTCGGGCACCACCAGCGCCGCCCCGCTGGGCGCCGCGCGGGTTGCGACGCTGCGGGGGGCGACCTTGCGGGCCAAACGGCATGGTGTGCATCCTTCGCATCATCATCTGTAGGCGCTGCTGGAATTGCAGACGAAGCATCATGAATCGCTGGTCTCGTCGCTGGGCAATGTTGACAATCAGTGGTTTGCCGTTCAACATACGGCCATTCATTTCACGCAGTGCGGCATTCGCCTGATCGGCATTTTCAAAACTGACAAAGCCGAAACCACGGCTGTTACCGTTTGCATCCGTCATTACCCGACAGCTGCGAATGACGCCATACTCCTTGAACAACTCATGTAAGTTCTCCTCCGTGAATTCCGGGTCAAAGTTACGGACGTACAGGTTGTTGCCAAGCGACTGACATTGCATATACCGCTGTCGCAACGCGATGAGGCGTTCGCTTCTTGGCTGGGCGCGTTGCACGTAGAGCGTTTCCCCTGGTGGTGTGACACCATCCACAAACTGTTCATGAGACGCCTCTATCGCCTTGACGGCATCCTCGTGTTTTTCAAAGTTACAAAAGGCGAACACACGGCCATTCTTGTCTTTGCAGGTTGCGGAGCTTGTAATGCCACCAAACTTGGAGAAGAACTTCTCAATGACATCCTTATCTACCGTTGGCAGCACCTGCTTGATGTAAACGTTTGTAAAGTTCGCCACCAACGTGGCAAGGCGGGCGTTGCGACGGATAAAGTTGGCGACGTACAAGCCCACGTCTTTTGTCTCGTCGGCGTGTTCCTTCTCACCGTTCATGTTGTCAATGGCCTCCTTTGCGGCGGCGTCGTCCTTGAAGTGCACAAACCCGTAGCCGCGGCTCTTGCCCCCCTCATCCTCCATCACCTTGCAGGAGAGGATGTCGCCGAACTTCTTGAAAAGCAAACTGAGCTCGCGGCTGTCCATTTCGCCCTTGAGGTTCTTGACAAAAATGTTGCCGTTCCCGCTGTAGCGCAGGGCCGGGTCCCGCTGCTGCCACATGATGCGAATACACTTGTCGCCGACCCGCTTAAAGTTCAGAGCCTCCATCGCCTTTGCGGCGCTGTCGTGGTTGTCGAAGTTCACGTAACCGTACCCCAGCGAACGCTGGGTAATGATGTCACGGCAGACGCGCACATTCAGAATGGTGCCGAACGGCTTGAAGAGCTCCACAAGGTGTGGCTCGTTGACGACGGGGTCGAGGTCGCCGACGTAGAGCGAGGCCACCTGCAGCGGCTTCGTGACGGGGATGGTGGGCGTGATTTCCTCCTGCGTGGCGGACATCGCTTTCTCCATGTCAGTGCGCGCTTATTCCCTCTTTTCCCCCGTTAAATGTCCCTTACCTCGATTTATGCTCAAGACCTCCTCTCGCCTGCTTCCGCCCCTTCCCTTACCTTTGTGTTTGCTTCCAACTGCCTTTCAAGCTGCAGCGCCCCGCTCCGTTTTCCTTGTGTGTCTTTCGTTTGCGACGGATATTGCTTTTGCCTGCACTCTTCCCGTCGCGTGCTGATGGCTGGCTGGCCGAGGATTCGGTCCTGCGAGGAGCACAACAAATCCCTACCCCAGCACCGCCCGCCCGCCCCACGGCACGAGACAAAAGAGAAAAAAAATCACGGAGAAAGTGCGCGTTCGTGAAGTAAAGTCGGCGGCAGCAGCAGCGGCGGCGAGGCATCTCTCCACGATGCCCCGCCACACACACAGAGAGAGAGAGAGAGAGAGAGTATGTGGAGGGGGAGGGGACAAGGACACCGACGCGCAATAAATAAGGCGAGGAGGGCGCGACGCGCAAGAGGGAAACACCCACACACCCAGGGGAAAAGGAAGAAAAACAAAACAAAGAAGATGAAAAAAGGTGCTGTGTTTGTGATGCGCAAGCGAGACATCCTCAAACACGATCCCGAAGAATTTCGTCCAACAAAGCGCGCCGGAAGCGCGATGCATCCCACTGAGGTGGAAATTCAAGTGTCCCGTCAGAAATGCCCTTCGCAGAATCACCACCTCCGCCTTTATTCCAGCTTTTCACCGCCTCAGCCACGTGGAGGGCGGCCATGCAAACAAAGCACCCACAGTCCACATTGTTTTTTTGAGAAGGAAAGTCAATGCGCGTGCTACTCGGTGGGATGTGCTCGCTGCACTTGGAGCAGCTTTGAAGCAGCCGCAGAAATGACAGGCAACGGGCCGCGTTCTCGTCAGAGAGACTGTCCAGACGCAGTGCCACAAACGGCACATCGACGCTCACTCGTTGGAGGAGGAGGAGGCTCCAGTGAACACCGTCGTAACCAGTCCCTTTGTATTCGGCGATTGGGATAGCAACAAGCAACATGCGGCACATCTCATCTACGGGCCCCAAGGAGGCATCGTCAAAGGCGCACATTGTGTGCGCCACCACCGGGTCCAGGAAGTGCACCGCATCCGGGCGCTGAGCAACCGCAGCCGCCTTGGTGAAGACGTAGTTTATTACTCCCTCCATCAATGGGTTGCCCTCGCGGAGTGACTCCGCTTCCTCCTCGGTGAGTGAGGCTCCACGCATCCAGACAGTGGAAGCCACTTAATTTGCTCTTTCTGTCACGCACACTCCCATCCACAGAGGCAGGCAGGGAACCCACACATGCGCGGTCCACCTTCCCCCCTCCTTTACTGTTTCACGGGTAGGGGAGACAAGGACCACGGCAACTTCCCGTGCAAGGAACAGGACCAGAGAGAGGGAGAGAGAGAGAGAGAGAGAGAGAGATAAGTAGTAAAGGACAAAAACAAGAATACGAATTTGAAAAAATGTGGGGAATTCATCCGCCTCTTGTCCCCTGTTCTCGTTGTCGCCTCGCAAGTCACATCTTCAAACAAGACGAGCGAGGCACAGCGCATATGCGATTGGGTTCGACCTTTGCTCCTTTTCCCCGATACGAAACAGGGAAAACAAGGCCCAAAACGACGACTACAACAACAAGATCGCCGAGCTGATTCAACGAGCCCACAACACCCTCTCTCTCCCTCCCCCC